CCGGCTCCGTCTGTTCCAAACGCAGGCAGTACTGCGTTGCAACTTGGAGCGCGGGGGACGCCGTTATACTTTGCCTCACACTGAGCCCGACGGCTAGCAGACGCCAAGACCGAATGTATAGCCAATTGAGCATCTCCAAAAGTGTATCGTCGCGGTGTTCGTCGTCTTTGTACGTTCCCTATTGCCGACTAAGTCATTCAAGCTCAGGGGGATGGGCCGAAATGGCTGCCGCCGCCACGTTGATTCTCGAAGTAATTCGTTAGCATCGAATGCGGCCTCTCAGCACTTTTCCGAGGGGTGTACATTACCGAAACCCCTTTCCTCCCTCGTGCGAGCAGATCAGAGGTCACTTATGTCCGAGTACCACTAGAGCGACAAACGACAGCGACAAGCCTCAAACCAGCCTTTCGCGATTTGACAGACTTTGTCGAAAGGAGTCAATGTGCAAACACGAGCATCATGCACGCGAAGGTATCTTTGGCAGGCTTGCAATTGCTCGTGCTTACTTTACAAGCACCGCGAAGGTGTGTGTGTGTGTGTGTGTGTGTGTGTGTGTGTGTGTGTGTGTGTGTGTAGGCGTTGTAACCGGAGATTGAGAGGGAAAGAGAGAGCCAATTGTGTACGCGCACAATGCGCATTTGTCACTGACTCGAAGGACTAAACGCGCCCCAGTGATACACCCGCCGTCCTCCATGGCCAGCGATCTTCGGCTGCAGGTGCTACATCTCGGCGTCGCTCCCTATAACCAGCCAATCCAGTGCGGCCTCCGTTGCTATGCGTCCTGTCGCCAAGCCTCTCGAAATATGCACCTCGCCGCCATACTTGCAGAAAGTATTTCCTAGGAGTGGGATAATGGCGCCATCCCGTGGCATGTCGCGAACTTTATATACGTGTGCTCCAAACCAGCCCAAGGTCAGCGCACGTATTAAAGCACTAATGCTAACTCACTATTGCTATATATATATATATATATATATATATATATATATATATATATATATATATATAGCGCAGGATCATGGAGCATTTACTGTGCGTGAATGTTTTTGCCGGTAATAGCAAACGCGCAAAGACGACGAGCGCCCTGACACTTTTTGGCGCTCCTTGATTGGCCCCATGATACCGTAGCATTTGCTGCGATCGATCTAACACGGAGTGTAGACCGACAAAGACAAATCGGCGTTTGCCCACACCAGGGGTGGACACGCACTGCGCCTGCGCAGAAACCAGATTCGCGTGTGCGCATGCGACGTGCCGACAACAGCGCCACCGCAGCCATCAAAGCCTATCATGTGCCGCCTGAACGTCACGCGACCTATGGGAGAGGCACAACAATGCGCAGTGCTGAGACTGCAGCACGGTGTGGACTGCAGCCAAAGCTACTATACTCTGTTTCATACTTAGCGTGCAACGCAGTCAAAGCTACTGGCGCGAGCGTGTGGCTTGATCTCTTTGATCATTTGCACGAGTTCTCGCGCGAACAAAACCATAGATGAAGCCGCGCGCTCGCGCCAGTAGCTTTGACAGCGTTGCACGCTAAGTACAACACACGCTCTTGGCTTTGAGACGCGCATGTCTAGCGCGAGTGCTCGTTCTGTGGAAGAATGCTTCAAAGCAGCGACCTCGAGCTCTCGTGCCTGTGGCATTGGCTGCGGTCTCAGCTTTAGGGTGAACGCTCAGCGTTTAGAGCGCTGGTTCGGCTGGGATGACTCGTAGAGTCAGCTGCGGTCAGTGGCGTACAAACTTCTTTTTGAGTAGGGGTGGCAAACCAGACCCCTTGGGGCCCCGCTGGCCGGTGCTTGCCCTGCCCAGTGGCGGCTGTTTCGGGGAAAGGGGGGCAAAACACATGCCTTGCCCCCTTCCCCCCCCAACGCTGAGAAATGTGAGGTGGGGGGGGGGGGGGGGGGGGGCGGGAGGCAAGCGCCTTGCCCCTGCCCCCTGGTTGGTACGCCCGTGGCTGCGGTCCATCGTAAGGTGAAACTGAGATCCGGCCGGGATGCACGGCTCCGGACATCGCGTTTGGAGCTCCGGCACCCTCGTTGGGGTGACGCCGCGTGGCTTTGGCCTCACGGCCATTAGTGCCGTCGTTCTAGCCGCGTCGTCGTTGCCCCTTAGCGGACGTGAGGGCACGGAACGTGCACCCCCTCCACCGTGACCCCCACCCATACCTCTTTTGCCGCTGTACATCCATTTTCTTCGGCAGCAAGCGTACGCGCACAACTGGCGGCATTGGCGCGCTGCGCGAGGCGTAAAACTCGCAAAACGCCGACAACTAGCGCTATCTAGCGGCACCCGCGGGACTTCGGGGAGCGAACGGCGCGCGCTAAGGAATTTGGGAAGAGGTCCGGTTTTTGTTGGGGCGCCTGGCTGCCAGGCGGAGACGCGTTGTGGTTTCACATTTTTGTATTCGTTGCATTTTTTTTTCTCTTTATCGAAGATGCTGCGTCTCCATCTCATAGCTTGGGGCTCGTTTAGAATGTGCGGAGAGGTGTAATCCCTGAAGGGTGAACTGAACGTAGGGTTCGGGCAGAACGAAACCCACTTTTCTCTGCCTCCAACAAAGCCAGAACACGCATACCGTGCGCGTATTTAGCTTCTATGTTACACACAGGGAGGCTTGACCGATCTGTCGGCCAATGAATGCCTCGTAATACGTTTGGCCCTCTAAACACCCGTTTACGCATGCAATTAATAAAAAGGAAAAAAAAAAGCTTGGATGATTTATTTTAGTCTAGAGTGAATGATACTATACCAAATGGCCCCACGCAAAATGACTTTGCAAAATGGCTCATCACAAAGTGACTGCTCACAAAATGACCCTCCACGGAAATTGCCCTTCTCAAAAAGGTTTTTCATAAAAAGGCCCTTTACGAAATTGCTGCACACAAAATGGTATTGCTCGAAATGGTCCGTCAGGAAATAGCCCTTTGCAAAATAACCCTTTGCAGAATGACTCTTTGCAAAATGACCTTTCACAAAACCATCATCACAATCTCCACAATGTGGCTCCTCACAAAATGGCCCCTCACAAAATGGCCCCACCCAAATTGATGCCACACAAAATTTCCCCTCCCAAACTGGCCTGGACTGAAACCATGTTGACTAGGACCATTGACCGAGATGGTTTCAACCTAGTCCTTTTTGAACAGAAAAATTTTGGTTGGGACCATTTTGACTAGGGCAATCTTGACAGGGAGGGACTTGCCTGGAGCCATCCTGTCTGGGACCACTTTGTCTTAATAATCTCGTTCCACTTGGCAAACAAGTTTGTTACCATTTTTTTTTTCCATTTCTGACCCTGTTTAATAGCCATGTTTGTTGCTAACAACTTACTTAACATCAGTGATCCTTCAGAGCTTACATGTTAATTTCTGCAGGTGGGCCTTTTTTCTATAACTGTGTTGGACATGTTGAACCTGTCGACAGAATAAGTTTTTGTTCAACATAGTCTGAATATCGGCTCTGGCCTTGTTGCCATAGGCAAACCTTTGAACCCTTCTCTCTTCCTCTCTCTTTATTCATAAGTGGAAGAGGGCTGAAGCCTTTTGTTTGTATGAAGCTTAGGCAGAAAGATAATGATCATCAATTAATCGAAGACAGGGCAGCCTTTAAAGGCTATTTTTTGTAGCTACACATACTAACTGTATTTTCTGAACATCTGGTTTTTGCCCTTTCTGGCATGCCATTCAGTAACTCTAAATTTGGAATAGTTATCGTGAAATCAGCAAGTGAAAACAGTGCCAACCCAACATTAGAATATACCTGCAATTTTTACGGTGTAGCACAATTTTCCCTCAAGCAGAATCCTCGTCGCAAAAGCCCCGTGTCATTAGGCCCACGTTTCGAAAACCCCGCCTACAATTGCTCCGTCCCGTATTCCCCCCTTGCCAAAAGCCCCGTCCTCACTGCCCCTGTTCCACCCTCTTTGCGCTTCGACCAGCATTGTTTTAACTTCTTTGTCTTAGCCTAACCTGTCTACGTTCTGCAAAGGGTCTTTTAATTTAAAGAAACAACAAAATAAGATTAACTTGAACCACAGAAAAGCTTAGAATGACATACAAGTGGCTAATTGTGTAAATCTGCATAATCAGCGATGCACTCCGCTGTCATAGGGGTATACTCAGATGTGGAATTATAGACTTTACCTAACTAGATCGATATGAATATTTTAGAACGACGTAAGAAGAGTGGAACTCGTGTTTGGTGCTGTATACGGAAAAAGTATGGCGCCATGAGCTGTGGGTTAACGGTTTTGATAGAGCCCACTTCGTTGGAACTGGGAATCTGCGTGTGCTTCAAAATCAATGAAAGCTTTGGCTCAATGCTTATTCATAAAAATGATAGCTTTAAATTTTGCCAGTGATTGATATTTTTTGTTTCTGCTCACCTCTAACATCACAAGGCATTTGACCAGGGGCTTTTGCCATCGGGTGCTTTCATGCACCACCCATTTTTCAGTGCTGTGACGTCACTGGCAGGCAGGCGTGCAGGTCAGGCAGCTAGTCTAGAAAACAGAGTACTATGTTGCACATTAATTTCGCGCTGCTGCGCAAGTGCGGGAGCGAGCTTCCAAAGCATTCATTTGACACCATAATCAGTTGGGAACGAATTCTACTGCCAAAGGAGTAAAGCCCTGCCTGCCACTGGCATCACTTTGTTTACTGTTTGGCAATAAAAACTTCCAGTAAAAAAAAAAAGATTTTAAAATGTTTTTTTTTTTGTAATATTTTGTTTTTTTAGTTGAGGTGTCTAGCAGATTTTAAAACAAATCAAAGATCATGACCAAAAAAAAAAAAAAACTTTTGGATTTGGATTTAGTGGCGTCCCCTTTGTAACGGGTGGCCGCTCGCCGGAAGTTCCGGCGATGGCCTGCCAAAAAAAAAAAAAAAAAAAGGCTTGCTTAGTCTGGTTTCTAGCCAAGCCTAGCCGAGTTCTTGTGCTGGCACAAGGTTACCCGAGCGTCCCGAGAGCTAATCGGGTGCTTCCCTATGACCCTGCAGGCATTCAGCGGCGGCGGGCATGTACCCGATGCCCCCGATGGCTTCCGGGGGCTTCAGGGGGAGTGGCGGCTACCCGTCGCCCCTTCCCCGGTACACCCCTCCCCTGCTCCCCCCTGGCATGATGCCCCACAGCTTGCACCCAGCCCTAGTCACTCCGGGTCCCAAGCAGGAACTGCCCTCACCCATCTCCGATGCAAGGTGAGTTGTTGGTCACAGGGGACATGCATGGGAGTAATCCGAGTCTCGTGTAAGACTGCCCGAATGTGGCTTGGTGAGTGGGGCCTTGGGGGCACTGATATTTTGCAAGTCACCTTTCAACAGGATTAAAAATTTGGCATGCACTTCTTTTCCTGCTCAATTAGCTATACGGAGTGCAAGTTCATCTGTTTCTTGAGCAGGGGTTGCGGTTACATCAGAATGCTGAGCTCTGATTGGCTCCGATTGAAAGGAAAAGCAGGTAGACCTCAAGACCTCCATCGGAGCCAATTAGAGCTCTGCTGTCTTACGTCAGGGCAACCCTTGCGCAAGGAGCAAACAAACTTGCGCTCCGTATAGCATGGAGTAGTAATATGAATACTTGGAAAGAGAAAACATTGAGGACAGGGACGGAGGCAGGACTTCTTTCATTGAGCAACAACATAGAATGGCACAAACTATAAAACCGCCCCCTAAGGTTCCAGCGTTCTCGAAGAAGAAAAGAGAAAATTGTTAACCCATTTGCTACCGCGCGCGTCGCACACTACCAGGTTGTCCGTACCGCATGTTTTTTTTCCCCAAAACAGAGCCACACTAGGCATGGCTGTTTTGCTTGTATAATAAGCTTTTACAGTAAAACGCAGTAGAGAAAACAAGAAAACATGTTTATTTACATGCTTAAGTGGTTTGTTCAAGTCTACAATTCATTAGGCCCTCACAGATTCTCCTTCGTATGAAAGATATTGAAATACTCCATACTCGGTCGCTTAGGCGTCGCACAACCAGTGCACTGTTGTCGTGATTCGCAGTCAGAACTGCTGTCGGAATTGGTCCGATCGTCGGCAGAAGGCTCCGAAAACTCACTATCCTCACCAGACGTCCCGTCATCATTGCTGTCGAAGAGGATATCTATGCTTTCATTGCCAGAAAGACCACACCGTACACTGGACGCTGCCATCTTCTCCAAGCAGGCAGTGATTGAGCAGCAAAGATGACACACAAAAGAACAAGCTCAAACAAACACAGCGAACAGAGCGACCCTCACCATCTGTTGGCGATGTATCCAACTACACTACCCCAAGTCTACATAGCGCTATCTATGAATGGCTCTTTAAAACGGAAATTTATGCAGCTCGGCGAATCGCTGTCTTTGGCCATATGGCCCCTGACGGCACACCCGGCGATTCGCCGGCTTTGGTAGTGAATGGGTTAAAAAGGAAAATTTTCTTCTTTCCTTCTTCAATGACGTTGAGACCTTTGGGGGCGATTTTATAGTTTGTGCCGTTCTAGGCTGTTGCTCAATGAAAGAAGTACTGTTTCCATCCCCATCCTCGATGTTTTATCCTTTCAAGTATTTGTATCTATTCACCAACATGCTTGTTTTGAATTATTACGGAGTAGTAATAGCACGCATACCCTCTTAAAGACTGATTGCCAATTAAAGCTTTGCGCCCGCTCTTTTCCTCTCTTTGAAAGTGCCACGGAAAGTAGTCTCCGAGTATAGTGTAGTATTTTCTCTGCTTATTCAACGCTTGCTTTCTATTTTATGCGAGAGAAAGAGTAACGGCGACACCGTCTGCTTTGTGTCACCGTGTGCAGTCCCTGGGGGGAAGGCATATTTGCATTTGAAACTTACAAAGCTTTTTCCAAAGTGAGATGCAGCAGAATCTTTGTGTCATGCGTGTTCTAACTGCAGGCGTGTTCTTGTAGGGTAAAGTGACTTATCCGTATTGATAGACAGGCACCAATCTTGAAGTCATGACTGTTTCCGCACCCCAGGCTTTGCAAATATGTGGCCCAGGTAAATGGTCTGGCTAATGTTCCAGTGCCGCATAGTCTTTTAATGTAATGCGCACAGTAAGTTACTGAAGAAGTGGCCACTTGAGTGACGCTATAATTATAACAAAATAAAGAAAGTTTGTTCAGTTACATTTGTCCATATCATATAGTTTAGCTAATTCTGTAGGGTATAATTGCTGCCCCTGCCTGTTTCAATCTGGCTGTCCCTCGTACCGGCGTGCGCTCGTGTGTCACTATTGCACGAACACACCTTAAAGGAACACTGACATCCCCCAAAAATTTAATATTTTTTGCCAGGCAATTTATTATGGTGTCAGAAGACTATCCGATCAGCGGTTTGCTACAGCTTTACATGTATTTTTAATTAAGTCAAAGTATGCAATTGCTTGGAACTGAAACTGAACTGGGGAGGAAGAAGGACTATAAAGGAGGAGAAAGTTACTGGAAATCACATGGCTGCGCAGCCCTTTTTTTTTTCAATCAACATATTTGCAACGTTTTAAAAGCCACGATATATGCGTGTCTTATTTTCAGTCTATTTTTAGAATTGAGTGCGTGCCTTCGATGACCCGTGACCCTGATTATCTTCGGTGGTTGTTGTCTAAACCATAGAAAACAGCTCATGACTACGGAGAAGAGAGTGAGCGCTACTGAAAACGGCCAGTTCTCGATCGGCAGTTTTCGGGTGAAAAGGAAACAAATTTCGAGCCCTAAATTGTGTTCTGGGTAGTTGGGCTGTCATGTCATGCTCAAATAATAACCTTGGCAAGCATGAAAACCCTGTCAGTGTCTTTCTAAAGACGCCAGGCCAGCAGTGCTACTGCACTGGCTAAATTTCTCATCTACGGCGGAGACATCAGTCTCTTCCTTGGTGCGGACTAACTTCCGACTGTCTAAACATTCATACAAGAAATTGCTATAGTTTTGAAGTTTACAAGAAATGTAGGGGCACCACTTATGCTAGCGTGGGTACATTGCCAGTATTTTTGGGTAGTCTGCCGTTGGACAATTGCGATTGGTATGAGGATTGACCAACATCCTTCACTGTGCTACACTCTGACCTGATGGAACTTTGGAAGGGGTAACACTGTTCCACAAAAATGAAAGTGAAAAAATGAAAAAAAAAAAAAAAAATGAAGAGCAAGAAAAAAACAAAAGGTCAATTTTATTGCTGGGTCCCTTTTAAAATGCAGAATTGAGGAAAGCACCCACGCGGGCTTATGCCCATCTTCCGCTCTACTAAACAGCCTTGCGCTTTGAGAGATGGTGATTGAGTCAAACTCTCCAGGTTGCTTCAGACATTTGCATTTGAGTGTGGCATTACATTTTCTTGCACTACCCACTAACACATTGCGCATACCTCGGTTGTTGTAGCAACCACCTTGTTGTGGGCATTGGTAAGCGGTCGTAGCACAGGCAGTCACACTCATACAGAGATGCCTGAACCGACTCTTATGGCGAATTCGGGTGGTCAATCGTCGGCAACTTATTTTGCCAGAAAACCGGCAATAGTGTTTGCGTGGTCAGTTTCCGGCCGGCGCGCACCGTTCGGGTGGTGGTTCTCCGGCAAGCACCGGCAACTTTCCGGCGCTTTTTCCGCCCGAGCTCCGAACGGCCGGGCGAGTAGGCGCCAGACTGTATCTGGTGTCGTCACTTCCGAAATGAGAGAGAAGGTCAGTGAGAAAAAAAAAAAAATGAATGAAAGAACGAAACTGATTTGAAGTAACTTAAGCAGCCGCTACGAAAGTCAATCCAAGTTGTTGGGATATGAGTGACGGCGGTGACAGGCTCTCGCTAGCGGTGTCGCGCGGGCAAGAGTCGAAGTAAACTGCCACCGTCTGTCGTTTCGTGTTCGGGTGGTGAGGGTCACATGGTGTGCCGCCGGCGCGTTTCTGGTTGCCGGTTCCACCGGCTCGTTCTCGCCGGCAACTGACCACCCGAATTCGCCATTAGAGTACTCGAAGATATTGCGCTTGCCCCATGCACGAGGGTGTGCGTATGTTCCACTTCGCTGGAACGGTCTTATGCTTTGAGAGATACTTGGGGGATACTTGGGGATCGTGCCAGTGGGAAAGCAAGGGTCTTTGCATGCTCTGGTTGACCCTGACGGCGGGCTTTGTGGGCACAGTCCCCTCCTGTTCCCCAGGCACCCACTGCCCATGTACCCCGTGGAGTCCAAGGCCGGTGGCCAGAAGCGGGGGGGCGACCTAGTCAACGGGTCGTCTCAGGGCCACAACGGCCACGGCCTCCTGACCCTCCAGCAGCAGCATCACCAGCAGGGCCCGCAGCCCACCGCCCCCAACCACGGCAGCAGCCAGACGCAGCAGCAGCATAACGGCACAGAGAAAAAGCCCCAGAAACCGGCCAACCACGTCAAGAAGCCCCTCAATGCCTTCATGCTGTACATGAAGGAAATGCGTGCCAAGGTGGTGGCCGAGTGCACCCTCAAGGAGAGCGCCGCCATCAACCAGATTCTGGGGCGCAGGGTGAGCAGACCTTCTTCTCTATGGTGCAGAACTGTCTATGGTTTAACCTGAATCCAACTATCGATAGGACTACCGATAGTCAACTGCTGTAACACAATTGATAGTACTATTGATAGTGTGCTGTCGTAAAGCCATCAATTGCCGACTATCGTAAAATGTTTGTGGTGGTCCACTGTTGTGAATCAATCGATAGTCGACTATAATGAGACTATTGACAGTACTATTGATAGTCAATTATCGTAACGTGACAGTACTATTGAAAGTCGACTATCATAGTACAATTGATAACCGACTCGTAAAACAAGCAATATTCAACTGTCATACAACTGTCGATAGCCAGCTATCGTAGAACGATCGATGGTAATATTGATAGTCAAATATCATAGAATTATTTATAGCTGACTAGCGTGAAATAATCGACGGAATTGACTATCATAAAGATGTCGGCAGCCAACCATCTTAAAACTATCGATAAATTGGCTGGTGGTAGTACCGATTGCTTTTCCAAAACTTTTAAAAGTATTGATAGTTAGTTTATCTTTAGTCTTTTGTCACTACTTCTTTCGCCCCTTCCTCTGCACGTCCGCATAAGCCGCTGAACCCTCATGTGGTGCCTTTGCAGTGGCACAGTCTGTCAAGGGACGAGCAATCCAAGTACTACGAGATGGCGCGCAAGGAACGGCAGCTCCACATGCAGCTCTATCCCGGCTGGACGGCAAGGGATAACTATGCCATCAACAGCAAGAAGAAAAAACGCAAGAAGGACAAGACGCAGGACGGAGGTAGGACAGCTTTCTGGCCGCCTTTCCATTGTCCTTGTATTTTGTGATTGCAAACAAAGATTTCCGAGAGGCGCTGATGTAAGCCTCCTGAAAACCAGACACGAGACTGTCCTCGCTCCAATCTAGTAAGAGCCAGCTCCATCAGGTGATGGAACTAGTTGCCTTTATAGGGTCAAAGGGTTTGGCATCGTCTGCATGTCACGTTAAATTTGATTTTGTGATCGCACGCTCAAAATGGTATTTGAAATCCCTGTCTAAAATTTAGAAGAGAATAAAACTACCAAGTCTGAGCTAAAAAAAAAAAAAGTGATGTTATTTAAAGTAGTAAGTCTACTTCAGCCACTAAGTGGCTGATGTAAGTGAAATATGTAGGTATACATTTAATCTCCAAAGATTGCATATACTGCAGTGCCCACTAAAGCTATATGGCACATGCAAACTGTGTCTCGCCTCGTGGTAGTGTTATCCCGGCAGCAGCAAAACAGCTCCATGATGTAGCGAGCCGTGGAATAGCCAAATCGGGGTACGCCACCCGCTCAAGGTCAATATCGTGGCTAGACTGCGCATCTACGTGTTTCGCCACCCTCTCTCACAAAGGAGGCCAGCCAGAATAGTCATAAGACATCTCGCCCCCGTCTGTTTGCGCTTTTAAACCTTATACCTACCATGGACCAACTAGCCCAAACCAAAGTTTCAATCAGAATAGTCAGTCATTGGATGGCTCATTCAGAGTGATGGAAGTGCTGTGCCACTTGCGCCAAGTTGCGCCGGGAACGTAAGTCTGCTACATCTTATCCCAAAGTGCCATTTTTGCAAAGAATTCCGCCATACCTGCGCCGATATGGGCTTTCAAACAAAGAAAAGAAAAATATATTTATATTGGGCGACCCTGGTATTCAGGGTAGAAGGGAAGGAAAACAGTACAAATACCTTATCTCACTGGGCTTTGAATCAAGGTGAAGGAAGTGTAAAGATTGCTCATCGACTGCGCTGGCCACATCATCGTCTGAACTTTGAGACAATATCGGCATTGTCAGAAGTTTAATGCCGCGAGAAAAAAATGAGCAAAATACTGGTATGGCAGCGCAGGCTGCATGTACTTGCCTCGTTATTAAATAAAGGGCTATTTTCATGTTTCTTTTGCATTCAAGAAAAGACCGGGATGCCACAACCCAACAGTGCGCACACCAAATATGCTGCCAGTAGTGGAGACACCAAACCTGTAGATGGTGTTGGTTATTGGCCTCTTAAAAGGAAAAAACCACGATACTGCAACGCACGCAGCCGTCCTAACGTCCCAGATCCCGTTTGCTCCGAAGCTATTGTGTTCACGGAGGGTGTCCTGTGTTTCTCCTAGTAAAATATTTTGTCTAGTCGCGATTTTGACCTTGAGCGAACAGCCTCTCCTGGTCGAGCTGTTGTGCCTGGAGTCGTGTTCGGCTGCCATCAAGATAGTGCTCCCACGAGATAAGGCACAGTTTGCACGTTCCGATAAGTTTGGTGAGCACTGAACACATAAATCCACCCCGACACATGCACATTTTTGTTTTTGCCACGTTTTAGTTTCAATATAGTCACTGACTATATTATACAGAATGCAGATCATATAACTGAAAGATACAACATTCGAGTTCAGGTTCTGAAAATGACACTGTTGTCTCCATGTTTAAATTTTCTTGGAAAATTGGATTTGAAATTTGAAATATATATCCTTCCTATGTCTTTCTTTTCATCGCTTTGTAGAGTAAGGAATTATCAGTTTTATGTTATAATCTGGTCAGTATTGCCAGGGTTACCTTGTTTACACCTTACAGCCAGACAACTAGGTAAACTCCAGAAATCACTTCACTGCCCGTTTTAGTATCAGCTTAACATTTTTTTCTCCTTGCATTGCCCCTTCAGGCTTGCATAGGGGGGTGGGTATTCTTCACTTGTAAGATGTCGTTGGAGCTTACATTTTCTCAAGGCCACGGGGGGGTTAGCTCAAAATAATTATTATGAGGAAGATGGGTAAGTGGCAGCTGCAGTGCAGAACCCATGCATACTGTCACGGGCAATGCAGCTGAGATGAACAGGGTCTGAAGCAAGGAACTGATCCTTTTCTCACACTTATCAAAGTTTGTTTGTGCTTTAGAAACACTCACTAACCTATTTCTTCATCTAAATGCAAGGAAAGAAACATAGATACAAATATAAAAATATTTTCATTCCCTTTCTTTGCTTGGATTCCCTTGCTTTATTAGACTTGAAAAATTTCAGTTAACTCCTCCTGCGATGCTCTTTTGATTCTGCCCTTTCCCGGCCCTCCCTGACTTGCGCAGTCAAACTGTGTCGTGCCGTGGAGTGACTGACTTTCGATAGCTCTAACCTTTCGAGCGCCACCTTCTCTTTTCTATCGTGGATGTTCATTCCTCGACCCTCATTGGTGTGACTCTCTCTTTATCTTTCCTTTTCTTTGTTCTCCCCGTTTGTTCTTTTTCTTGTCTTTGCGAGTCGACCGTGCATGCCCCACACGCCTTTCACTGAATGGCTCGTTCATTTGTTACACTTCTGACATGCAGCCGTGGCTAGGTCACTGGCAGTGTAAGTAGGACTTTGCTGAAAACTCTCCCCCCCACTCACCTGCTCACACCTTCTCTAGCTGGCCTTTCCTTCTACTTTCCTCTACTTTTTATTTCCTAGCCCAGTAGCATTCTCTTCAGTGTGTTTGTTAGGTTTTGCATTCCATGTCTTTGCCTCGTTGCAGCGTCTGTCGGATGGGCTGTGACAGAACTTCCTGTGCATGAGCTTTATCTTTATTTTCTTTTTCTCTTCTTTTCTTCAGTTTACATTTGTAGCGCATTTTAGGAAGCTTTAGTTGAGCAGGGACCGAGGCAGGGACTGAGTTTACTGGCATTTGGTTCGGCCCGTTTTTATGTTGCACGCATTCAGCATGACGAACTGGTCCCGTTTTTGGCCTGCTCTGCCCGATCGGCTAGTTGAGCCGATCAGCTGAGGCTGCCCTTTGCTTTTTATTTATTTTCACCCTTCCCAAATACTGCAAAGATAAAATCGATAAATATCTCCCCACCCCACACGGTACATTTACCCTACATGTCGAATGCGTGGTCGTGGTTGGAAAGGGTAGGACAGTGGAGGAAAACACTTGAGGAAAAAAAAGATTTTCTTTTTCCTTTCTTTTTTCGAATGGGACTGCTCTTAGAGACCTTCTTTTGGCATGTGCAACCGCTACCCTCTCCTTGTCCTAAAGAGTGGCACCCATCTGATTCTTTCCTCTGGACAATCTCTCGTTGCAGACATCAACAATCCCAAGAAGTGTCGAGCAAGGTATGGCCTGGATCAGCAGAGTAGTTGGTGCAAGCCTTGCAGGTGAGAACAAAAGCCCTGTCTGTGGGGTTTATGTGCTAGCTTGATATTACTGTAGTCACTGACAGAGTGAGATTGACAGGACGCGTCTATCCGACGCCCGGCCTCCAACGCTTGTTCCATGCCCTCTGCCAAACTTTAGGCTGTGCGTGCGCACTTGAGATGCAGAAGACGCCCAAGCGTCCTCCGAGATAACTGAAGCCTGGCTCCATGCTGCCGTTCTCACCTTGTCAGTTCAATTCCCAATTCATTTTCTACAAGATTAAACTTAAAAAGCCCCTGAAACGAGTTTTTTTAAACAAACAACAAACAGGAAAATGCCAAAGAAAATTTTCAGAGAAATATTGACGGCAAGAGATTTATTTGAAATTGTGCGTGCAAAGTCCATGATGTTGCGGAATGGTCATACACTCTTTCCACCTCGACGTGAAAGCAAACCCGATCCACCTCTCTTTCGCGCGCCCGAAATGCCGAGGAGAAAACAAGGGGAAAGGAGGTGACTGCCCACCAAATCGCGTCTCGCGCCGTCAACATTGCTCTAAAAAAAATATTTTTTTTTATGTAAAATTTGTTTTTTAGTGTGCATCCCAACCAGACTGTTTAAAAAGAAAAGTTTTTCTTTTCGGGGGCCTTTTAAGCAGGCCAGATGTACCTGGCAAATGACGCAATCTTTTATGGTGTCAGCTGTTAGTAGCCTGTCCCCCGATTTCGGAGCAACGTAAACGGTTAAAACAAGCTTGTGGGCACGTTTTTTGGTTTCGCGATGGCGTGAGCTCAAGAGCGTGCGGCTCGGTTCTTCTGTCTCATGACCGGATCGTAATGTCACGGGGCCAAATAATCTGATCCAGCTGCAAATTTTTTTGTTTTCTTTTCGTATTGCAATTTGCAAGTATTTGTTGTGGACAATCGAATCAAACACAAGCACATCACAACGTTGAAGGGGTCATGAAACGCTTTTCCAACTTTTTACTGTTTAGCTTTCCTCCTCAACTCATAAATCGCGCATTCCACCAAACAGTTCAAGAAGACGAAAAGAAGGGAGGCCCCCCTCGCTCGGAATCTGGATTGTGTACACGGACAGAGCCATTGTCCCCCTAGAAGATTAGCGCGTCGCTCGAAATTCAGACAAAAGTTGGTTTCCCCAACCCGTTCACCCCAAAGCTGACAGTGCTGTGGAAGCTACGTGCTCGGTGGGCCAGCCACACTTGCCGCGTGAGCGTGGCAAATGTGGCTGCAGAGGATGAGGTCAGGTGATGAAAGAGAGGCGGCTGATTGGTCCGGCAAGCGCGTAGCTTCCACCACAATGTCAGCTTAGGGGTGAAGGGAATAAGTGAGGTCCGGTTTCGTGTGACGTCAGTTTGGACCCGATGACGCGCTTTTGGGACCGCAGATGTATCATAGTGAAAAGGCAGAGAGCTTACAAAAGGGCAGAGGTATGAAATAGTTCGCTGCGTTTTCAAATTTTTGCACTAAAAGCCAGGCTTTTGAATTCCTACCTTTTTTCTTTTGACCCACTGAACAATGTGCTATTAGTAAAATCCCAATCTAAAATGATTTATCCCAACCCAAAAATCGTTTCATGGGCCTTTTAAGATAATTTATTTACCAACAACGTATCGACGCTAACTCAACACCTTCCTAGAGTCCCCGAAGTCATTGACCATCAGACAAGCTGAGCAATAAAACTTTGTAGTGCGCAGCTTTTAGGCACCCATTCCCGTTTTTCGTGGCGTTGGCATTGGCGTAATTGCGCTAAATTTAGTGGTAAAATTGACATCACGTGACCTCAACACACTTTCAATTCCCCGCTAAACGTAGTAGGGGAATTGAATTGGTGTTGAGGTCACGTGATGTCAATTTTCCCACTAAATCTAGCGGAGAAACTGAATCTACTCATAGGTGACGTGACACCAAGTCATATGACGTCATTTTCCTCTCTAAATTTAGCGGGGAAACTGAAAAAGGTGTTGAGGTCATGTGGCGTCAATTTTTAAGCTAAATTTAGTGGGGAAACTGATGTCACACGTGCTCATGTGAGGAAGGCGGGGAAGTGGGGGGGGGGGGGAGAACGTTAGGTTTACTAGGGCAGCACTTCAACACGCAAAGAGCCACTTGAGGCTTGGGAGCCGCAGCTTGGCCACCCCTGTACTAGACCAAACCATATGTGCAGAGTGGGTAGGGTCATATCCTCCTATATACTGGAAAGCCCGTCAGATTGTTGACGGAACAATAGAGCACCTGGTCGCCAGAAAAGAGAAAGAGAAGTGGCAGAACGGCAAACGCGTGTGTAGCCAGGAGGCAAACTCTATTCAGCGCCAGCTGACCTTGCTGCCTCTCCCCAAAACGCATTTGCATTTCATTTTTCTTTTTCGCTTTTTTTCTCCTCTCCCTAATGTAAGCTTCCTCCTCTCAAAAAAATAAACAAAAAAAACAGGAGTGTTTTTGGATTTGATTGCTTACGCTGTGGTGGCGCCACCAAGAGATCCCCCCAGGACACTTTGGGAATCCTTTGTCCGCCTCTCCTCTGCCTTTCCCCGTGACTGCTTTTTTTGGGTTCTGACAGGCTTTTAAAGGAAGTTATGGTAGGGTTGGATCCTGTTTCAGAACTTCAAAGTGGCTTCACAGTTAACTTGTCGTTGTGATCATCTAGTAACCCTCCTCCCCTCCAGTGGATGGGGTCCCTATCACTTAAAGGGGTCGAAACCTCAGTGGCAGAGAACCGCTGCTCTGGACAATTGGTGCGCAGGCCGAAAGAAATCTGCCTGCTCTCAAAGAAGTGGATTTTTTTCACTCGCAGACCAGTTGCAGGGCGTCCAGCGACCGGGAAAACCGGGAATTGTCAGGGAAATTTTAATTACCGGTAAAAATCGGGGAATTGTCAGGGATATTGTCAAAAAGCGAGCCCTGTCAGGGAAAATGAGCCGGAAACGCCATCGAGTTCCCTGAGCAAAAACTTGACGACTTGGGGGCAGAAAAATATCCATTCTGCTTAGAGCGGAGCGCGGGCTCTGCTCACTTGATGTAGAGTATGCTACCCAATGCAAAAGGAAAAGTCAATAAATCCAGTCTAAGCCTTGGATTGGATTATATTGGAGGCGCGACACCAGGCTAGATTCACTTAGAGTTACAAGATTTAATAACAAATGGGAAAGTCGCAGACCCCAATTTAATCCAAGCCTTAAGCCAAAAGTGTGCATCTGGCGGCCATGCTACCGTTTGGTTATGACGTGTGTGGTTGAGCGTCGTGTTTTCATTGTGTTTCCGGAAGTGACCTCTTCGTTGACAACGTCGGCGGCAAGAAAGTGCTCCCATGCAAGTTGGATTAAGCCCGTGCAAAATGATCCTCTCAGTGCTGAATGCTCAATGCCTTGTGTTGTAATGGTCTTATATACTTAACTGCCTCTACAGTGGTCAGGGAATTTCACCTGAAATTGTCAGGGAAAACCTGGAAAAGTCACGGGATTTCAAAATAGTAATTCGCTACACACCCCGAGTTGCCTCGAGGGCACAAGTTTCACTCCACCCGAAGTCCGTGTATTCTTTCATCAATACATGGCTTGCACGCGACGTCATTCAAAGAGTGCTCCGATGGCCACCAGAGAAGAAGGAAAGAAGGAGCTCCTTTCTTAGCAGGACCCTCTTTCGTGCCTCCCGGATTTGCACAGACGTCACTATTCTCCTCCCAAAAGATTATGGAAGATTAACCCATGTAGGAGGAGAGCTTCCCTCTTCTCCTTTTACATGGTGGTAAAAAGTATGCAATGTGACGTCAGTTCAAGCCATGTATTGGTGCTCGCACTAACGTTCGCTACTCTAGGCAACCAATTTACTCATTCCTAATGTGTATGCTTGCCCACAGGCGGAAGAAGAAGTGCATCCGCTACCAGGATGGCCTGGACGGCAACGCCAACGAGAGTGAGGACAACATCGGATCGGTGGAGGCCCCTACGCCGGAGTCGCACACTAGCCACGGGGGTGGCGACACCACCACCACCACAACCACGAGTGAGGGCAGTCCCTGCACCAGCCTGGGCACGCCCGAGCCCAGCCCGGGGCCCCCTCCCCGGAGGCCCGACTACTGCAGCCTCAACAAGTACCACCCGCTGAGCGTGCACCACCTCACGGGACAGGCGCTCGTCAAGCGGGAGCCCGACGACACCGTCGACATCCTCACGCCGCCCTCCACGGACTCTTCCACCACCACCACGGCGCCGCCTTTGCTCACGGTCACATAGCCAAGCCCAAGGGGACGCGACGGACACAAAGGCGCACGTGCTCCCGGAGCGGCGCGGTTTTCGTCAAAGTGGGGCTCGGCGGCTCGGTCTTCGTTGGAATGCGGTTCGTCAGCGTGCGTTCTGTTGGAACGCGGTTCACCGCCGTGCCCTTCGTCTGTGCGCTCCCTCGTCAGCCCCTACCAAACCATCTTCTTTCGTTGTGAACCGCTGCTCTGGAAAGTGACGAGCATTCACCGGCTTGGGACGGTGGCGAGTGCGGCGGCATTCGGGTGCAGAAGGGAGCGTGGCAAGGAGTGGCGAAGACCCCGGTCCGCGAGCGGCGGCATGGGAGTATTCTATTTTTCAGACTACCGTTGCACGGCAATAAGTTGTTTTTCGAAATCTGGGGAAGTACACCCCCGTCCCTTTAGCGTGGAGCCCGAGGCCCCTCAACCTCTTCGGGCGTTTGTTGACCGTAACGTGAAGATGAAGGAGAAAAAACTGTAGATAATAATTATAAAAAGATGTTATCTATTTCTAATTTTAATTGGTTCGTATTTTTTAATTGGTCCGAATATTTTTTTTGTGCAGCACGAAGAGAGTTTTTTACGTGTTGAACACAGGGTCCTAAGCACCCCTTGCCACCGCTGCCACGCGCCCGTTCCGCAAAGGAAAACTTTCCATTTTGAACCCACATCTCTGTACATAGTGGTCGGCCGACCAGCACAAGACTGGGAGCAGGACAAACTCTCCGCCTGTACAGTGATCGACATTGCACCCGTGTTTCATTTGCCTGTACTTTTTTTTTCTCCAAGCGTTACTTTGTGCACGGTTCCGTTTGCCATGTGCCAACAGGTTCTGGGCATCGTTTGATGTGCATGTGCAGTCGCTGAGAGCGACAACTTTGTGCTGGGACCTGTACATACTTCTGTCCCCCTTTTGGAAGCAAAGTTCGAATTGTATTCAGGCAGCGGAGTCAGCTATGAGACTGTCAGGAACAGGCCTGTTGTTTCCCTTGCCAAACTCATGGCCCACAGTCACCTTTCCACTTGTTTTTGATCTCAATCGTGAGGCGAGCGCGGGGAGTTGCGAATGAAAGGGGTTAAGAACAAAAGGTGCATCCTTTGCATTGTAGTACCAAAAAAAAAAAAAATACTTGTTTCAAGACTGCGGGCAATCGCGGTCCTCCTGCCAATTTTTATTGCGAGAGCAGTGGCATTTTTCTCGTGTCCTTTAGAAAAATTTGCGTTGTGATCTTCCTTTTTATGCTTTTGTCTCTCATTCGTCTTTTAGAGCATCATTCAATGTGGAGGTCTTAATTTATGTGTGCAAAAGCACGTGGCTCAGGTGTCACACTTTTTTTTCGTGTTTATCGGTGAAAAAAGAAAATTGGTTGATGCACGAATCTGTGTTGGTGCACCGGGATGGCGCGTGAGAAAGTTTCGTTCAGGTAGAACATTCAGGACTTGCCAACTAAAAAAAAAAAATACTCTGCCATTTTAACCAAAAAAAAATTATGCAAATGTTTGTTTGTTTTTTTACAACTTTTTAGTTATTTTTATGTGATCAAAAGTTTGGAAGCCAACACACATTGATGGTTCGCAAGAGTATGCTTGCAAATTTGGGTGCTTGCAAGACCTGCGCAGGCTTTTCAAGCTCACAATTAATCTGAGAGATACTCACGACGGCAATTCCAAGCTCAGGCAAATCGCATGAAAATAGAGCCTCACCGGAGGAGTGCACAACTCGTGCCATATTTAGATATTTAAAGCCTGCTGAAACGAACGGACAGCTTTTGTGCAACTACCTTTGTTTGTATGTGGACTTGCCAAACGGGATCCAATTGAAGGCATTTTACACTCTTCGTTTTGACTAGACTGCTGTGATTTGTTACTTTTTTTTTAAATGCTCTTCCGTTTTTGTTTTTTTTTTGTTGGCATTTGCAGCTAGCAGTGTAGTTCTGGAAATGCTGGGAGATTTGCAACCTTTGTTTCAATTTTTTTCATTTTGCCTTCAGAGAGGACTTGAAAATCAAAAACACTGATGACCGGAAGCGGAAAGTATCTTGTAGAATATTTAAAGTTATACTTTTCTTTTGTGGTATAGTTCGCTATGATAGGAAGTGCATTATGTTAATTTCAATATGTGCAATGCATCCTTTGCAACAAAATGTGTGCAACATTTTTTTAAAAACAGTTTTCTTTCTTTTTTGTTGTTTTCTGAACAGAAAGAAACTGAAGTGTGCTTTGGATTTTTGAGGTTGTGTGCAATGCGTGATGAATGAGAAAAAGGAAGAGTTCGCACATGTTGTCATCATCACACATCTTGCAGTATTTTATTTGAGAAATTTCTATGTGTCCATTTCATTTCCGTGTGTTTGTTTCAACTCAACAAATTGTTTTGACCTGTACTGTGAGCAGCTTTTAAAGAATTGGAACAATGAAAAGCAAAGAGGAGTTTTTCGAAGAAAAATTCTCGCATCTCTTTTGCCTGACAAGGGCATGATTAAAGAAGTGCTGTTACGAGGAAACAAAATGAGCTGAATGGGCTTCATTCTTCAAACGTCTCCAAAGCTGTTTTTCTGTTGACAATGGAAACTCGCAAGCAGCTTCCACCTACATTGTTTAAAAATATTGTGTGAAAGAAAACTATGCTACATTCACAAAGAGTGTTTCCACATGCAGGTGCAATTGTGGCGCCATAGGTATAAAATATTGTGGGCAACATTAAGTTGTTTTGTACACTCCAGGCAGCACACGTAATTTCGGAGCTAGAACACATGATGTGAATCAAGAGAACTGAAAACAAAACCAGCAATATTCTAATACCTCCAGAATTATTCCTTTGTTAGACAAATAACAGTTTCATCTCAATTGCTCACTGCATATGTGATAAACAACAAAAAAATAGAATCCTTCACTATGACACAAGCCGAAATAAATTATTCAATACCAAAAGCAATGTTATATTTTTAGGCGTAATACTTTTCAGGAATATAATTTCAGTATAAGTTTTCACAACCGCTTCCAGTTTGCAAATTTTTTTTTTTTTTTTTAAATTATGCGGTTACAAACTATGGTCTTCTTAGGACCCAAGCTTCAAAATACACTATTATTCACAAAGAGGGACTGCCCTCGTCGACTATAGACAGCCCCCAATGAGCGTAGGGTTAGATAGAACACGGTTGCAAAACCGTCCACTGTCTTGGTTCTAGAGAGAAATGCACCATATTATAATACATACCAGAATGGCATACACAATATACATACATATAGGTTAAAAACGTGGAGCTTTGGAATGAAGTCGGCTGCCGTAAAACATGCATCGTCCGCAAGGCTCCGGGCGCAAGCCTCTCGACGGACGAACCGAGCATACCCTCTCGAGTTGTAAACTTCGGTCCTTCTGTTTGTTCGGGGGCTGTGCGACGGTCGTTGGCTGGCGGCCGGGGCTGCACATAGTACGCATTCAAAATGGCACGTCATGGAACGTGGTTTAATTTTGATGTCTATCGAGGGACCCTTTTCGAAAAGCACATGGTGAGCCCTCTATTGCCAGAAGATAAGCAAGACCTGTCTGTGCTCGCGCTCTGAAATGCATGTTTCACAGCAGCCACAGGAAGAGCTAGCGTCCCAGAAGACGGGCACGTCTGCTTCGGTCACACGTGCCTACGGACGCTGTAATAGATGCTGAACACGACAGTGACAAAGACTAGAGCTGCAACCACATAGAGGATGGCCCGGTTCTGCATCGCACGTCGCATCATTCCCGACAGGACGGTAGAACTCTTCCCAATGTCGTGGTCTGTTTCCTTCACCTGCAGAAAAAAAAGATAAGTGTGAGGCCTTTATTTTATTTTTTTCTTTCTGCACTGCGATTTGTTTTTGTTTGAACAGTCTGTTGACATCCACATTTGATCGTCCACCTGTATGGCCGCTCTCCACTTGTTTTGTTCGTGCTACTGGCTCCTTCTACAGCGTGTAAACCAACACTTTGCGTTTCAATTACTACAGTGGTGAAAGCAGGTGGTGGAAGTTTACACCAAAAAAATATAGGAATGAACTCGAAAAATTAAAACTGATGGGAAAACTTCAGAAAAAAACAACTTAAAAGGAAATTACTTGAAAAAAACACACTAAAACTTGAAAGAAAAAACATGAATGAAAAAATCAAGGAATAAGCGCCAGTCGATTCAACTTGTGGTGGTAGACGATCCCGCAAAAACCGAATCGGCCAGCTCTCCCCAGGCGCAGTGTGTGCTGTCTGTCGGCAGCACTTCTCACTATGTGCGCGTCTGCGAAGTGGCGGCACAGATTGCCTAGAACAGGTTTTTTCTTCTTTTAAGCGAGGTTAATTAATTCCTCGAGTTTTTCCTGTACACTTCCATCACCTGCTTACACCTCTGTAGTCAATTGCAGTGCAATACGCTGAGAAGCCAATTTTTGCGGGTTGTCTAAATCGCCTTAAAAGCATTGGTTTACACGCTGTAGATTGCCGTGCTTGGTCACGGCTACTTCACCGGGAGATGCAGAAAATTGATGGCAGTGAAAGTGCGGCCCAGCAGCTAGCGGCTCGGCACTTTAGCTCTTTACGTCGCTGTTGCTCGTTTGCTGCCAGCTACCATCATGTTGGTCAGTAGCTGCTTTGAGAACCCTCCACCGGTGAAAAGCACCACTCGTCAGGGTGCTCCCAGCAAAATGGGAACCACAATCGAGTTGTAGTGGGTTGGGGGAAAGGTTGCCCCCCCCCATACTCGCCTCTTCCAAAATATACACCAACTCAACTCTGTTACGTCATGCCACAGTGATGGCACGTCGGGCGCACTTCTGCTCTGGGGCTTTGGGCAGAAGTCACCATGCAAGGTGGGCATTCCTCCGTTGTTTTGGAAGAAACAAGACCCCCCCCCCCCCCCCCCCCCCCAAAAAAAAAAAACCTGCATTCTCATTAAAATATTGTGACTGGGGCTGTACCAAAAGAGCCGGGAGAGCTTCGAAGACCAGCTCTCGCGTTTTCTGCTTGCTCACTTCGTCTGAGAACATGGATAGGCGCCGTGAAAAGAGAAACCAGACGCCATCGGACGGACCACGATTGCTTGTGCAGGAAGCACTTTCGGTTGAATTTACGGATACACTTGCGGTCGCCAGGTGTATCTCTTTTGTTCCAACATGAATGCAGGAAAACTGTCAAGTCGTCTGGACCGCACCCGCGGACAACGTTCAGTGCATCTTCACCTTCGAATGGCCGCCTGATTGTTCAAACTGTCGTCTGCTCTTTCAAACTTGTTTAAACTGTCTGTCTGCTCGTTCAAACGACAGCGGCCAGTAGACCAATCGCTGCGATAAGAAGTGCAGGCCTCAAAAGATTTTTAAGTTTGAAGGTCGTTTGGGGTAAGTGGGTTCGGTCTGAACAGTAGATACAGGGAGATGTTGACCATTGTTACCAGTGGCCATCACCGACTAGTTATGCCTGATTCACTTGGTCCAATCTTGCTTGCGATTTTTAGTATAGACGTTGAGCATAGCAGCTACTGTCCACGTCTTTGCAGCCTGAGCGACGTCGCGACTGAAAACAGCGAGCAGAATTTCATTGTGTGAATCGGGCTTTAGCATCCATTATGCGGCGTTCAAGTGGAATCAATCGCCACATAGCATTACTATGCATATTATTTACGCAACATTACACATATTATTATCCATACTATTTACACTAAGTTCTGAAAAGTAACGACCCATGTTAGTTTCGCTCAGGCCACTAAATTAGTCTGACGTTACGCAATATCAACAATTCCAATGTGAAAAAGAGCACGGGGACTCGCGCCGACATCACATTCTAATGGTTTGTTGATGCAGGACATGACGCTTCTTGCCCACACCCCATCGCGCATACACGGTGCCGGTGGCATGCTGCTAGGGGCGCTCCAGTTTGTTTGTAAACACGAGTTGCTATATGCAAAGCTTGGAACAAGTTGCAAAAAGTCACGAAAATAACTGAGCTACAGTTACACATAAATTGAAATTTAGTTGGAAGTTACAAATGCGGTTTAAACATTTTCAAATTTATCAAGTTGCAGTTGCCTCCAACAAGTAAGTTGTCTTGCAGTTGTACCCCTGTCAGAAGACGCTCTAGTAAAGCTCCTATTAAATAAATATCCATTCTGCTAAAGGAGCTGCTGTCACACGACCGGCAAAATACTATTTACCACTGATAGTGATTGCTTTGGGACTGGTCACGCGGAGTTGAAAAAGAAACTAAGATTATTCTAAATTTTATAATCGCGTAAAACATTGCTACTTAATGTTTATTTTACGAAAAAAATCCTTTTTATCGGAAATAATTTAAATAAAAACATTCGCAAAAAGCTTTTGTACCACATCCAGACATTGGCAACCATGAGACTATGCTAAATCGACAGTGCTAAATTAAAATGTATCTTTCCATAGGGTAAAGTGTGAGCATTATTTATGCCCGAGTTCAATGCTTTATACCAGCAGTACTTGAAAGAAGAGTGAGCGTGCAGGCAAGTTGGTGAATCTAAGCCTGGGGAGGAAGAAAACTCGGATCATCTCCGACACAGTTAAGATTCTAATTGGCAACGAAAGCCTCTCATTGGTACAATGCCCTCAGCCAACGCTTGAAAAACCCATTTTTTCTCGCTGAGAGATGTCCCAGCTCGCGCCCACTGCCGTTAGCGCTAAAGTCACTGGATCTGGGAAAGTAGTGCCACTGCCTTTCCAAGAGAGCAAACTTATTTTTCAATGCCTCCAAGCACCGACGCCGTGTGTGATGCCGTACATCTTCGTACCGCCACCCATGCAATGTCGGTGCTTGGAGGCATTGAAAAGTAATTTCACTATCTTGAAACACGCAAGATCAACATAATCATAAGAGATCTGGGGCACTAAGCATGAGTGATAAGTTTATTGCATGCATGGTTCCAAAGATGCTCCTATTGGCCGAGGAAAGCTTTCAGTACGATGACGCTCCATAGAGATCATGGTGCGACTGGTTTTAACGACTTTTTTGAAGGTTCGAAGCTTTGAAAGGGTCCAAAATGGCGATCACCATGGCAACCGACAGTGATATGCCAATCACCTTGAGAGGTTTTGTTGTCTGTATGTTGGTATTCGTCTGTGTCCGGCTAGCGAGTGGGAAGGCAAGGCACTACTTTCCCAGATCCAGTGACTAGTTAGCGACTGTCGAGAGTACTTGCTTTGTACTAAAGGATGCTAGTGAACTTCCTTTCCAAAAAGTATGCTTTAGGGAAAGGAGCCTTTTTGCTGCCATGTGGCACAAAATCCTCCTCCTTTGCGGAGATTGTCCTTTCTACTAAAGGAACCTGAGCAATCCGTCCGACAGGGGACTTACTTCCAGAATATTGTGTAATGTCTAGGACAGTGGTTCCAAATACTTCTAGAAAAATGTATAATGTCTAGGGCAGTGGTTCCAAACCACTGATATTTCGGGACCCCGTCTCTATCGACAGAACTGATGCGGGGATCCCATTTACTGGGGGGGTGAAAGGGGGGGTATTGGATGATTACTGATACAAAAGGGTAAATAAAGGAAATTAAATGCATGCAAATCAACTTTGAAGCTAGAAAACAATGAATATTCAATTCTCAGTGCACATGCATACCTGCCAACTTTAAAGAAACCCAATTTTAAAAACAAATATTGATAACAAATGTACAAGAAGACAACTTCATTACATTTACTAGTGCTTTTCACAATAGCAACAGTTTTTATAAAGTCTAAAACCCTTTGGTTGCTAAAAACGAAAGCGTAAGCCTTGATAAGGTAGCTTGAGTTTCTGGGTTGACTTCACATTAATTGTTCAGAAACAAAGAAGCACCCACTGAAAATAAAATGTATTTATTTTAACTAAAATGTAGGAACAAAACACAAAATAAGCTATAGGATTGAAGAGGAGTTTGTAGCCGTGGTAGCTGTTCAATCAATACATTTAGAGGTAATTATGTGGCTTTTTGTCTGCAGGACAACAAACCTACATACAAGAACTTTTTGTTTGACTTCACACTTAGACTTGTCTTTTCAACAAAAAGTAAGTTTTGCACATCGTAGTTTGTATGCAGTATGAAGTACTCTTCAAATGCTGTTTGCGTTTGAGACATGTGTCTTTAAAAAAATAACAAGTATCTGATCTTAAAGTGCACCAAAGTGGATTTTGAGAGCCTCTTTTCATCACACAAACTCAATCTATGTGTCCTAAGCACCGCAAAATCTTCAAAATTACAACCCCGCGAAGCTTTTTGTCTACTAAAAGCGCAAAAAAACACTGTGACACGTCCTTTTTCTGAGATATCTCAGAAAAGGGGTGTCGTTTTGGTCGCATTAGTAGAACAGAGGACAAGTGAGATAACAATTTTCAGTTTTTTAAGATGCTTGGGGTGTGTAGATTCAGTTCACGCCGTAAGAGTAAATCCCAAAATCCCCTTTAGTTCCCCTTTAACCACACTGAATACGACTTCCGTCGTACGTGACAAAACATTGTGTCCGCTTTTAGAGGACCATGTCCACTTCAATGCGCACTTATGATTTCAGTGAGGACATCAACCATACTGCTTGGTGCGCAACAGCACAACCTTCAAGAAGTGACCTCAGTCAGTAGCTGGAAGCATGGGGGGGCACCTCCTTGCCATCGTCTCTTCATTTCTTGTTTTCGGTAGGTTTGGGGCAAACCAGCGGCAGAGCGCTTGGCTGACAGTCAAGCGCTTCTAAGGGCACGAGAAGACGCCCGCTCACCACATCCATCAGAAATAGTTCCAAAGTAGGCAGGCCCCCCAGACTACACTTCCTTCCAATAAAACTCGTGAAAGACATGAATCACGAAATCAAGTCCCGTGTGGACAGTCCTTCAAATGCCCATGCAAGTACCTTAGTGATGCTCCCCAAAAATGTAAAACATTTTTTCGATGGTTTTAGAAGTTAAAACAGGCATATACTGATGGTTGAGGCTAAATGATGTATGCCACAAGCTTCGCCCACGCGGCTTTGCTGAGCACTCTTGTAACCTTATGGCGAATGAAGCTTCCACTTCGTTCGCCATAACGTTACTTAGCTGAGATTTCTCTGCAGTCTCAACATTGCATTTTGTTTTTGCATGAAAGGTTGCGGAAATCTCCCCACTCGTGTACATGCCTGACCACTAGCATTCCGCCTGTCTACAGTTTGTCATTGAATGGCGATGAAAGCAACAAGCCCCAATAGCCAAACCTTTTACTACAATCTTCTCGGAAGGAATGTGGACCATATCTTGCAGCATGACATGAGTCAACTTCATTTGAGGTACCAGTGGTCTTGGTGAGGCGCCAGCATTACTTGCACTAACAAATGAACCACTACTGCTACTAAGGAGGCGTGGGAAAGTCGGCACCTCTCTTCAAAAGGCAAATGGCATAGTTGTGCTTTAAAAATCCCTCTTTTCAACTTGGTAGGACACTGTTGTGTCGGCGTACTGCACTGTCACACCACGATATCTGATTGTCCGTGTGCATGTGCGGCTCCGTGTCATCGCTGTGCTCTGCTTAGATAAACAAGAGCACCCCTCTTGTTTGTTCACTTCATTCCAGCTCTTGTAACCTGACGATTGGCTAGCTGTCAATAAAGCAGTAAGCCCCGCAAACCAACTGACGTCCGTCGTATTTTGCACCACATTACAACAATGGCAACGAGGATGTGGGACTGCAATGCAGTTTGGACGTGTACCACGCACGTGGATAACGACGAAGAAACTTTTGGAAATTGATCAGCATCTGCGAAGGACCTCTAAATGGGTAAGTTTGAGGCATCCACTAGTGATAATGACTAGCAGAGTACGAAGCAGAACAGTTCTGTCTTCGAGCACCTTCTGGAATTTTCTACGGAAAAGGGCAACTTCGAAATCTACGTAGAACGCTTTGAAGCATCTGCAGACACAAACAAGACTGAGAAGGATACCAAGCAGCGGGTGTTCCTCACACTTATTGGAGATGCCGCACACATCAAGCTTTGCAATTCGCTGTTTCTGAAGACGCCAGCTGAAGCAGGCTACGATGATGTCATGACGATACTTCTAAAGCCCTTCACTCCCAAGCGTTCAGTGGTGGTGGAACAATACATGTTCTACTGAAGGGATCAACGCCAAGGTGAAATCATTGACTTTATCGTCGAAATAAAAAAAATTGGCAGCTACGTGTGATTTTGGCACATTTCCAGAAGAGGTGCTAAGAGACCGTCTTATCGTGGGACTAGAGAGGGACGCCATCCGCTGCAAGCTACTTTAGACGGGAGATGGCAAAGACCTCAACTTCGACCAGGCCTACGCCTCAGCCTTAAGAATGAAGGCTGCACAAGAACAAAGCGAGGAAGTGCGGTGCACAAATGAAGTGACAGCCAGTACCAGTGTCAAGGGAGATGGCAACTGGCAGCGAAAGTGCGCACAGAGGCAAGATAAGAAGAACTTTCCTGTTTCAAGAACCTATGTTGCGTGCACTAGATGTGGTAGAGCACATGGCCCAAAGAAGTGTCCCCATTTCAAAAACAAGTGCTAATGTTTAAATGTTCGAAAGTGGGTCATATTGCGAAAGTGAGCAAAACTAAAGACAAAACTGTAACAGCAGTAAAGCAAGTTGTTGAGGATATTGAAAAGTTCAGGGTTCATACTACGCCAAAGGCGAATCCTTACTCTGTGAACTGGAAGGATTGACGGTAAGCAGGTTGAAATGCAAATAGATGCAGGATCTGCCGTTTCAATAATGAACAAAAACAAATTTAATTAAAGTTTGGAAATAAGCACTGTGAGAAAACAGACGTGAGGTTAAAAGCCTACGCCGGAAGCTTAATTACTGTGAAAGGACGTGTTGACATTCGAGTAACTCTTGAAAGAATAGACCACACTTTGCCGTTGATCATTGCGCAATACGCAAAAGGCATAGTCACGCCAAACCTGCTGGGCCGTGACTGGCCATTTAAAGTGCATCTGAACTGGCAGCAGATATTGCCAGTAAACTTGGTCAATGCTGAAGTGTCACTGAAACAAAAATACAGTGATGTGTTTGAAAAGGGAGTCAGCGTAATCAAAGACTTCAAGGGAAGTTTGCTTCTCAAGAGCACGGCCAAGCCTATCTTTTGTAAAGCGAGGCCCGTGCCTTACGCTCTTCGTGAAAGCGTTGAAGAAGAGTTAAAGACGTTGGAAGAAAACAAGGTAATCTACCGAGTACAACACAGTGACTGGGCAACGCCTTTAGCCGTTGCTCCAATAAAAGATAAAAGCGTGAGACTCTGTGGATATTATTGCGTCACGGTAAACCAGCATCCGAAGGAAGATGACTATCTGCTACCTCTCTCTGAAGATATTTTTGCGGCAGTGGCGGGTGGGGAAGTCTTCACTGCCCTTGACTTGTCGAAAGTCTACATGCAACTAAAGCTCAAAGTGCATTTTCAACAGGCTCTAACAGTGAATACACACCTCGAATTGTTTCAATTAGAACGACTTCTCTACAGGGTGACGAGCGCACCTGCTTTATTTCGGTCGGTTATGGACAAAATCCTTCGAGGAATTCCAAGTACCGCTTGTTACCTTGATGATGTTCTAATCTCTGGTAGAACACAAGAGGAGTGTGAAAAGAACACCGAGTGTGTTTAGAACGGCTATGAAGCACGGAATTCGAGTTGATTCTGGAAAGTGCAAGTTTTTTCAAAGCAGGGTCAGATATCTCGGGCATGAGATAAGCAGCAAAAGACTGCAGCCGAAGAAAAAAAAACTGAAGCCATGTCGAAAGCACTAGAACCTATGCACAGATTACAAAGAAAAGAGAGTGCACGGGAGTGGTCGCAAGAAGGTAAAAGAGAGTTCTGAGTGTTGCAAGAAGCTTTTCTGCACTGACATGGTACTTCAAGGGGCACTGAAACGTCAAAATAATTTTTTTTTATTATCAGAAACGGGGTAAAACGATGCCTGGACATTAATTAGGAATTCTGTATTTGTGAAGTAAAAAAACAATTTCCAAATGCCGAATTTGAATTTCTTGTGCGATTTCCGCCGCACGACGTCCACACGATAGACTGACGTATCACTGACTACAAAAGTAATTGTATAATGATTGTGTTCTCGTTAATAGCATCTCTGTGTGCTTTGCAACTGCTTATAATTGTGTAACTGGGTTGTACACTAAAAAGGGGAGGAAAGTTTTGTCGGCTTACTGCGCTGTCCTATTACAATACTCGATTGTTTGTGCACATGCGTGCCTGTGTGTTATCGCTGTGCTTTGATAACCCAGAGCACCGCCTTCTGTTTGTTCACTTCGTTCCTGCTCTAGTAACCTGTTGATTGACTATGTGTCAATAAAGCAGCATGCCTGCGGCCCCGCTGACGCCTGTCGTATTTCGCACTATGTTATAACACACACCATCCTGCTTATTCAGACCTTGAGTTTGGCCCATGTTGAACCACTCTTTGTCCAATAGGCAGTATCTCAATGTGCTCGTAGGATTCATTGAAACATTTAGATTTGCAGACATAGGACATAGACACTTGCAAGCATAGACTAAGGTCAAGAAATGCATTTATGCATACTCTACAAATGTAAATGTGAGACTCGTGTAGTCAGGAAACCAAGTGTGCACAGCCTCTTTAATTTATGTCAATATATATGCACAGGAAAAAAAAAACAAGTTTGTATACATCTGTGGTTTGCTCACCACTGAGATTAAAACAAACATATTTGTTTATTTGCAAATTGCAAAGTAAATAAACTTCCGTGGTAAACAGAGTTGTTCTTCATGTTTAGGCAGCAGACTATGCTTTGACTACAATGTCAAGATAATAAAGAGGAGTGATGCTTATGAGGAAAATGATTAAATCTGGACACCTAGGGTTTATTAGCCTATTCCCAGCCAAATAGTATCCAAATCAAACATTTTATCCTTTTGGAAGTGACAATGAAAGATAAATCGATCTGTGTCACTTATATCAGTAAAAACCAAAGCATAGTTGATACACTGGACAAGCAAAATGATGCCACTGATGAAATGGCCTTCAATCTTTCTGCCACATGGGTTCTATGTTCCCAAATGAACTAGCGTGGTTGTTCATCATCTGTCCCTCGTGTGTATCATTACAAAATGAAGTAAATTTTCTCAGCCTGCTCATCCCCATCCATGAAACATCAAAATCTGATTGATCTGTCAATGCCTGTGTCGAAGCAATTTGGACCCATTAAGAGGAGGGCAGCACATACCTTTTCCCTTGCCCTGCTGATGGTTTCCCTTTGTGCACTCAGATCACTTAGTATGGCTGCTCCAATTTTCTCTGAAAGACATAAACGTCGGTGTGAGTTTCGGGATGACTTGCATGAGCTTTCTGCTCGGCAATTCACATACCACAACAGCAAAAAACCATGAAAGAGGACAATGTCAAGCTTGCTTAAAGCATGCCCTCAGTTTCAAGAGCCCAGCACAAGAACAGAGGGTCATGAAAAAATGAAAGCCGCTTACAACTCCCTGTAACACCGAATTAGAGTGCAGCTCTTGAGGGGGAGGATGGAAGGGTACTAAGGGGAGGGTATACCCCTCCTCCCTCCTGCTCACCTCCCCATCCTGCCTGGTACTCCGCCACGGAAGTAATTGACCTGAGGGGGGTCACGTGACCTCACGGTTACGGCGATGCCGCTCAAGCCGGAAACGGGCACCTAAGAGCTGCGCTCTAAAAGCATGTGGAATTCCAGTGACAGAGACCCGAATATTGTGACCAGATCAAAATTGCAAAAGGCACTTTGCTTTATGCATGTGTTGCTTTTGAGATGGGGACGCCAGCAACGATTGTGTTAGGGCAGCGTAACGTTCCGCAAAATAAAAATGAAAAATGGTATGCCACTGCGGCTCTGGGTACTTCGTTCATCCTGAGACTGCAGTCAATGAAATGTTTTACAGAATGAATGCTCGCACTAGAAAGGCACGTTCAAAGTCAGGAGCATGGGCAAGCTGACACCTGTAGCCTTGGCAGCAGTCTCAGCTTAAGGGTGAATGGAGTATAGTGGACATCTTTGTAGTTAAAGCATGACAGTTCTCACATAAGATATAGATGCTGCTCCAGTGCAGAGCTTAAGAAATGAAATGAGGATAATAAGGCGCCAGTGGCAAACTGCTTTCCTTTGAGATTAATGCTTCGATGCCGGCAGTGTCATTGCAGGGGCATGTCACTGCAGAGAAAACGAGCAAGCTAGTGCACGGGCATATGCTCAGTACTTAAATAAAATAATAAATAAATATTCCTTTTATTTCTCGTTTATAGAGCATACTTATTAAAAAGTCAATACGAGCAACTAATGCAATGACAAAAGATGACGGAAAAACAAATTATCAGAGGACAAGTCAACAGCTTACAACAGGATCATGCAGCGTCACTCATTACGCTGCGTAACATAAATCTCAATAATGTAGTAACATCAACATTTCTATTTTGAAGCTCATTTAGAAGGGATCGCAAAGTATTAAAGATACCAAACCATAATTTGTGAGCATGGTACTAACACACCAACTCTCGCCATGTCAAGTTGCATACCCTGGGCTTGTTCTCACCAAACACAATAATACAGAAAAAAAGAAGTGGTCATTTGGTTGTAGTGCCATTACGTACAGACCTATCAAGCGACAATTGTGTAAGAGAAAGAGTGGCATAACTTTACACAGTTCAAAAAGTTCTCCTGATGATTTCAAGTATGGAATGTTTGCTACAACACAAAGTGCCTTCTTCTGTGTTAAAAACAACTGTGTCAGATTTTTGTTGTTAGACCCCAAACCAGGTGACAGTATGCATAGCTTGTGTACACCAGAGAATAAAATATAGAAGCAATTGTGCTCACACTGGAAATTCATAACGACCTCTACATATTATTCCAATAGCTCTACAGACTTTCTGGCGAATATGTACCAGATGTAGGTAGGCTTGAAGAAAGTGTATGAGTAAAAATTACACCAAGTATCTTTACAGATTTTGCTATTTCCGCCTAGGACGATCCAAGCATGATATTCAAAGGCAAGATGATTTGACAATTTCATGGTCTAAAGGGCACACACTTTGTTTTATCTATATTTATTTTTAAACCATTTATTCGAGACCATAAATGAAGGTGTGCAAGAGCAGCGTTTGCCTTACTCTCAATCTCAAAAGATGTATGAACTTTAATAAAAAGAACAGTATCATCCACATACAAAACATACTTGGCTTCTGGTGAACATTGTTCAATATCATTTATAAATATTAAAAATAGCAGTGGTCCAAGCACTCGTCACTCTGGGACTCCGGTCCCGATTTTACTTGTGGATGAATTATAATCATTTATACTAACAAATTGCATATCATATAGCAAATATGATTAGAAAAGTTAAAGTGCTGTGCCGCGAACTCCACAGCACTCAAACTTTTTAAACAGTATTGTTTGTAAAGTCGAAAGCCTTTGAAAAATAGACGTCCACACTAAGCATAAGCTCTTTATCCTCGAAAGATTTAAAGATTTCTCCTTTCTGTTCTAGGAGTGCTGTTTCTGTCGGCCTCTCTTTTGTAAAGCCATGTTGAAAGTAGGGACAGTATAAGTCAGGGGTGGCCAAGCTGCGGCTCGCGAGCCGCATACGTATTTGCGTGTACTCTTTGCGTGTTAAAAAGCGACTCGTGGCTCCCTCCCCTACCCCTACCTACCCCCCCCACTTCCCCGCCTCCCCCTCCAGTCACACGAGCACTTCCCCAAAAAGAAAAATAGGATGCGTTTTAAATCGAAAAGCAGGTTGCGGTTTGGTAGTCTTGTGCCACTACTTCCTTATGTACTATTGAGCTGCTTTTGACTCAGATATATTGAAAGCAGTTCGAGCGTCTATTGCTCTGGACAAAAGTTCCCTCCCCAAGCAGCTCCTGGAAGTTTCGTGGTTTTGTTTGCGGCTCTTAGGCTGGGTCAGCCTGGCCAACCCCTGGTATAAGTCAATCGAGGGCCCCTCTGATCTTGTCCTTTCTTGTTTGATCGTTTTTGAACCCAAGGTTTTATACGCATTGTGCTTTTGTATGATTTTTTCCCGAATCCTCGCTCATGTAATACGCCTGAACGATGTCTTTGAGCAACAATAAATGAAATGAAATGGAAAGTGTTTTTTAACTCAAGTCTTAGTTGTATTATTTTTTCCAGCCCTTTCGAAAAATTTGACAATAAGGAAATTTGTCTATAATTTTTGAACAGATTTGCATCGCCACCCTTTAATGTCATTACAAATCACAGCAGCTGGAAGTCCATAAAACAATTAAAAACAGTTCAAACAAAAAGATGGCGTATCAGCGAGTATTTTTCGGCAAGACAACTGACAATGTAGTTCCCGCTTTGTTCAATCCACATCTCAGAAATGTACTGGTGTCAACTGCAAGGGTACTTCGGTTCCAGGTGGCATTCCTTACAGAGATGAAGAACCTTTTGTTTCCTCTTGACATTAGGAAATGGCCAGATATATCCAACAAGCTCAATCTTTCCTCAGTTATCAGAAAAGTCCAACCACAGTTCTCAGCTGCATTATACCGTTGACCCAAGCACATATAGCGTGAACGAAATGACTCTCAGCACACTCAACAAGCTAGGTGTATTCACATAGATGACCTCCTGTGGTAGGTGTTGTTCAACACTTGGAGACTCACCTGTCTCTAAAACAAGACCGTGACCTCCTTTGAGAAGTTTCGTCGACCTCTCCATTCTTTCCGTGTTATCCAACAGCCGCTGCTTCTGCACAAAAAAAAAAAAAAGAAGGTAATAAAAAAGAAAAAGAAAAAAAGCTCGCTTGTAGCAGCATTTATTTACAGCGTGAAGCAAAGGGATTGATGAGTGCTTGAAGGGACCGCATAAATCGGTGCCTGAACATATCGAGCCAGGGCTCTGTACAAAGGCGACCAAACAGAGTGCATTAAGGGTATCAAAATTTCACAGAACAAACTTACCCGAATAAAAAGTTAGAAATCAAAAACTTGAAATCCCTACCTATGGCATCTGTCCGCTAAAGATTGGCACCTGATAGGCGCAACAGCCGACAGATGTCAGCAGTGCTCTCAACGTCGACAGGTGGGGGTCGGTGGAGAAGACCCAACATACTGCATTTCTGGGTGTCGGCATCGGTGATGACATTACCGATGTCAATGGTCGGTTTTGGAGGTTTCCGACATCGTTGCAGTGCCTCACCCAAAGGAGGATCATTAGGGAGCTCGGATGTCGCCGCCGAAACTCCTTCCTAGATCGTCGGCGGACCTTTCGCATCCTCTGGCACTCATCGTACAAGGAGCAATCTTCACTCGCTTGGTGGAAGCTAAGCATACCATGAAGATGAGTTACAACCCAAAACAGCACACGTGAAAGTGGCAGAAAAAAGAGACGCGGTAACAACCAGAGAGTACAAAGCATACGACGACATGTAGTAAAAAATAATTGTCGAAAAAAAACAAGACAACACCTCTGTTTTGTTTTTCTTGATACGCCTTCATTTTCATGATTTATTGGTAGAATAAAATAGTCCTGCAGTGACAATTTGTGCAGAAACGTTGTCTGCTATTGCCAGGGGAAGCGCCCTTTGTGGCTGCCCGTAGTTGTCACATCAAACCGCGGGGAGCTTTTTTTTGCAATTGGGAGTGTCTACGTCCACACATGGGGATGTGGCCACGTCGGGAGGAGATAAGGCTCCATCCACGCACTACGTCACTTCCGGCGTGGACAAAGGTAGTTCTCCTCCCCTCTTCTCTCCGTCCCCGCAGCAATCAACCTACGGTCTTGCCTCCCAACTGTCCCAACTTCCAATCTTGCCTCCCATTGTTTTGCCATGTGCTCGGAGGCCATTGCTCCTTGCATTCCTGCCGTGCACGGACTGCTGTTCCTGCCTGGTCATCCGCAAGCAAATTTGACTTTCGCTGAAGCATTTTTTTTCTTTTATTTTTTTTCTTGTTTTCTTGGTCAAGGAGTTTGGCCCTTTGTGTATTAGAACGGTCGCGCTTCTGATATGCCTCGAGTTTTGGTTGCGGGGGTTCGATGGTGAAATATTTGTCCCAGTATTTCCCATCGAATGGCTGTCGAAGTGCGGGCGTTTAGTGGCATTAGGATCGAGGCTTTGTTTTCCAAGGTGTCTGACACCCTGCTCGATTTTGGCACAAACATGCACCAGCATTTGTGCCAGCGCGTATATTGACAAATACCGTCGGTTGGCCGCTCAGATCCTGGAACGCGGTCCGACGACGCAGATCGCCTTTTCTTCCGTCCTTCTGAGGCAGAAGAACAGGTTTTCTTCATTGGAGTGTCAGTGCAGTCAGAGTACTGAGATACAGGTGTTGAATGATCGGCACAGAGACATGAACTGGCTCCTGCAGGAATTCTGGCGCAAGAAGGGCTTCGTGTTAATCGGTGATCTCGTGGACAAGTGGCATCTGTGCATCGGCTACTGTTTTATTTGTCATGGAAAAACTGTTTCTGAAATCTTTTACCCAGTTTTCTCGATTGCATGCTCTCAGTATGCTTGTTATTACTGGGACTAATGCATGTTTTCCATTCTCTCACAATTTTTGTAAGATTGCAAGCATGCGCGCAAGTCAAAAACGTACGGAGAGGTGGGCTCGCACTTGTCCCCTTCGATGCACATAAGCTCACACTAGAACGCCTTGAACCAAGCCAACCACACACACAACGAAGCCTCACCAGCCTCACCACCACGCCTCGGCAGCGACGTACACATGGGCTAAGGCCCCGGGGGCCTTAGCCCATGTGTGCGTGCACATGCGAGCTGCACGCCTGCACGCACACGCACGGATGGCCTGCACGTTGCCCACACGTGTGTGCGACTCCTGGACAGCATAACTATAAAGATATCGATTGATAATATTTTTATGGCGCATGATATTTGCTATTAGTCTGAGAAAACAGTAAAAAAATTTATAAATTGTCTAAGAATTTATAAGGTCATGTGACATATTGACTTTAAAAACAACAATAAAATGTAACCCTTTATTTTTATATCCTATATTTATTTATAAGAAAGCATAATATGTATATAAAAACAAATTACGTCCTTATAAGTCACGTGAACTTTTGCGTGGATGGAGCCTTATCTCCTCCCGACTTGGCTACGTCCCCACGCGTGGACGTAACCTCGGCCTTTGCAATTTAATGGCGGACGCCTCCTGCATATTTTGGTCGCAAGTGCGCATGCCCTGCATTTTCACGGGGCGAGAAGGAAAGCAGGCAAAAAGGCTAAAACGTTTGCAAACGATCGACGCTTGTGTGACCTCTTTGCGGCTCGTCTTGCAAACACAGCCCATAAACCATGACCCGAATAAAGCCGTTTGGAAACTCTCTGTAATACAAGCTCTATAGCTGCCTGTAGAGAGCCTACATTAAGACAGTTTCCAACAGCTCGATTAGGGTCACGTGGTTTGTGGGCCACATTTGCAACACGAGCTGTGAGGAGGTGGATAAAGAAGCCTTGATCGTCTGCACATGTCTCCGCCTAATTTCCTCCTCACTCCGTGAAAACGCAGCACATGTGCACTTGCCTCCAAAATCCGCAGGAGGCGTCTGCCATTAAACTGCAAATGCTCCCCATGGTCTGAGATGGACCCTTTCTTCAATACAGGCTCTCTAGCTACCTGCAATCTCACGATCCACCATCTGTCGGCTGTTGCGCCGATCGGATGCCTTTTGTTGTGGCCACCAAGATTCTTGGCACAAGCATTCATCGGGAGAGACTGAGATATAGAAAAGAAATGGCTCAAGGCTGTTTCTGCAGAGCGGTGGCACCGGTACAGAATCGGAATCACCATCATCGAGCTTGCTTGGCTAGCCCCCCAAATAAAAAAAGGCGCCCGTCTGCCCGAATTATAGTCGTCGCTTCTCACTACAACAGACATTACTTTCAAGGTATCCTAGTGTTTTCTCTTTGAAAACCGGGAAGGATATGGAATAAATGCAAGCCTGATTGTTTCTGGAAGAACTGCACGCCCAATCACTTTGGACAAAAAATAGTGGCGAGTCGATAACGAGTCTCAACATGATTTCTGACCCAAAAATACCAGTTTTCTTTGTGAGTCCGAGCAGGCAAAATGTCATGATCATTGTTCCCTTGCAGGTCGCTTTACTGAATACGGGGTAAGGGGGTTCTTTGGTCTCGTTATTCATTTGCTTGGGACTTCAAATTACATTGTTTCTTTTGTGATACCTTTTTATGTTTAATTTTACCCATCCTTTATGTTCTGTCCTTTTTTGTGTTTCTTTCGAGTGTTTCTGGGACGCCATCTCACCATGACTTTGCTATTGGCAGGGCGTTCGTAGCTTCGACCCTATCGCCACAGTGGAATTTTGTGCCACATTCTCTTTTGCTGTCTACTGTTAATCAGGGCCTACTCGCTATATTTAGTTTCACTTTTAGTCCAGATGCAGGCGACGCTACGACTTGATGGGACCAATCAGGTAGTATCAAAAGCACACAGTCATGGTATTCCTCAGGTTTACGTACATGTTCTATCATCGCTGGACCAATCATAGACAGAAACAGCCCAGTGACTTGCGCTTTTCACACCGCTTTTTTGGACAAAATCATCGCAAGCGATCAGTTGGGAGCATCAACGAGAAGCCGCCATTTTAGATTTTATGTTGGCCACACATGGATTGGCTTGGTTTGGTAGGGCTACTTGAGTACAGGTAGGTCCTACTGCTAAGTGACGCTATGCTACGGCTTTTTTTCTCTAGCTGCACGTCATTATCATCATTGTTACCATTTTGCTTTGTTCATTCGCCATTCTGCAGTTGCGGACTTGCTTCTCTCATCTTGCCTCGGTGAATATTGTTAAAACTATGCTGGCCCCATCTGTTCTTCCGCCACTGCGAAGAGTTGCTAAGCGCACAAAGTACTTGACCATACCGCTAGAAAAGGAGGCAGTGATTCTCAATCTAATAGGAAAAGGCTGAATGTAAGTGGAGGCGTAATCTGAAGCAAGGCACTATTGATGGATTTTTTAAGCCCGCTTAGACGTAATAAAGGCAAGGTTTTTAATCTGCCGATTTTTCAAACTACTCTATTATTTCGACGTCTTTTCGGTCCCTGCAAAGTCCAAAAAATCGGTTGGCGACTGTGCATATATATATATATATATAAACACGCTTGTGAGCCTCAGCCTTTGCGGTGTTAATGAAATTACAAGCTTCATACTGTGTGCAGACATTTAACGTTTGAGATAATAATAATATTAATAATGCTTTTTATTGGCTCAGGAAAGCTGCAGAACTGCAGAAGAAAAACAACCTGTACCATGAAGACCCGCAGTGCCGCATGTAGGTGATGGTGATTATGTGACGATATAATATAAAAGATGAGGATGACGTGTTCTTCCAATCGTCGTGCTGCCCGAGTCTTGGAAGTTAAAGGACGGTTGGGGACGGTTGCGGCGAGTCAGCCAACGAGATGAGGTGACCTTGTGAGCTGTTCAATTAAAGTTTTAGATGGTAATGCCCTGGCAGTCTGGTCAATCTGGTGGTGCGGTCACTCACTTAGATGAAGGCAGAGGGCTGCAGAAAATGGCCCAGTCAAAGTATACGGCTGTCACCCACAAAGCATTCATGTCCAGAGCTTGAAGCATAGTGCCGCATGTCATTTGCTTCTTGCGCACGGGGTTGCGGTGACAACAGAACGGCGCTCAGTTCAGATTTGCTTTGATTGGAAGGATAGTGGGTAGATCTCAATGCCAGCTGTCTTGAGGTCTACCCACTATTTATTTTCAATCAGCCAATAAGAGCTCGGCGTTTTGACATCATCGCAACCCCTGTGCAAGAAGCAGACCAACTTGCGCTCCGCATAGCTTCCTGTCATCGTCGTCATTCATGACGCTCGTATCAGCATCACAAACAGCTCCGTATCTTACGTAGCTTTGAGAAGCTGTGCTATATGCTCCGTCTGCTGGGAAAACCAGCGTTCGGAAGGGCCGGAGAAGTGCTTTGCGCCCCAAGAGTCTCGGTGGTCATGCTTTCGTTAGCAGATGGACGCCGTAGGTAGAGATTGGAAGTTTTTGACTTCTAACTTTTTACTCGGACAAGTTTGTTTAGTGATTTTTTTTTTAGCGTACGTTTTTCGGCCACCTTTGTAGAAGATCTCAACTCAATAAGTTCACAAATCTATTTATGCGGTCTATTCCAACACCCATCGATTTTTAACAATACCTGGTCGTCGTTGACGTAACCGTCGTCGTTGGCGAACAGCTCCTCCCGTGATCGGACTTCGTCGCTGTACTCAATCTTCGCCCTTTGCTGTTGGTAGGAATTAGCATTTAATTCCCACAATACTGCTTCCTTTATTTTGAATTAAAGACGTAAATCGTCGAAGAACTTACGAATTCCTTTCGCAACTGAATAAGCTCAGATTGGTAACTCTTGACTCGGTTCTGGTATTTTGGTCGCGTTGGTGCAGGAAGGCTACGAACTTCAAGCTCCATTTGCTCCAGCTGGAAGGGGTCCAAGTGTTAGCAGGGACACATGGCAAGATAATTTACCACTCGATCTTACGAGTTCGTTGGCTTCCTCCAGATGTCTTTCGACCTCGGCGACCATCGCAGACTTGTCAGCTGGAACGTCGATTTGGAGTTACCACCACACGTCAATGCTATTGACAGTGTGATAAAACTGAGAACAAAGCCTCTAAGCGACGCTTACCTGCATGTAAATTCGGTATCCGTCCGGATTTAGACGTTATTTCGGCGGTCAAAGCCGCATATTGTTGCTCAAAAGCCTCCATCAACGTCGCCATCTTTAAACAGTAGTATCATGTCTTCCCATCATTCATCGCGATTGCCGTCATTTCCGTTGGAAGCTGCAAGATTCATCGTCTATTTCCGTTTCCACGTAAACTTCCTTTTCAGCCATTTGCACTGCGGCGATAGGGTATGTGCGGATTTTGATCCTCTTGAAATCCATCTAATCTGCTATAAAGAACAGGATGCATCGTCGCTTTTTGTGTGTAGAACAAATACTCATTAATCCTTGATTTGTTCGCTGCAGGTATTCAAAATGGTACAGCGTCTCACACTCCGACGGCGGTTGTCGTACAACACCAACTCCAACCGGAGAAAAATGTGAGCGGGCCTTTCTCCACTTCGGTCGTAGCAGTGAAACATGTTCGTATAGATAGAAAAAACCTTTCGGTTTACTCTCTTCAAATCGTAGCTGATGCAAAACTGTATTGGGGATGTCCGTCGTTTGCTCATTGCCTAAGAGTCCGGTGAGCTGGTTTTGACATGATGCACGCTCTCGCAGCTCGAAGACTCCGGGTGGCAAGTTGGTTTACCTGTACCCCAAGAAACCCGGCAGCGTACCAAAGTGCGGCGACTGCAAACTGAAGCTACGAGGCGTGAGTACTTCGCCGCACCATTGACAAGCTACCTAAGAGTTTCGTCGTCCATTCTAATACCTGGCGATGCCCTTAGTGTCGCCAGGCTTCGCTATGGACAAGAAAAACTTCCTCGCCTACCCATTACTGCCTTTGAAGTCTCATTTCACTGGTGGGAAGATGAGTGAGGAACAATTGACGTGGTCCATACTTTTGTAACATGCTTATGTTCGTTCGAGCCTTTGCATCGGATTGTCAGTTCGTGATGTGGATGCCTTTCGCTTCGTCATGCTGTTAATTAAACAACCCTACTATCACCAGAAAATCAGACACGGTGACACTTGCGTAGCTTCGCTTCGGGAAATTGAAACAACATAGCTACTTAAAAGAACTTTCAATTGTGGCGTCTGGAGGTGCGTGCCAAATTCTGTTTGGGTTCCAGTGATTTATGAGTAAATTTATATGCACGAGCTTGTGCAACTTGACCGGAAATGGCTATGCGCACGACGTGCGGAGCTCACGCCATCTAGCACTACTACACGTGGGCGTGCCAACTATGGCTGTCGATCCCGAGCTATGTGCGTTTGATGCCAGCACCATGTTGATGCAAAGTTTAACAGCTTTGCGCTCGTAGGGAAAATATATCGTAGGGTACGGGCCCTGCACACTTACAGTGCTCTTCACTTGAAACAAACAACAAACCGGCGTTATCTGATCAAAATCCCCGTCCTTCGGTGTTCTGGGGCCCGGAGATTTTACAGACAGCGGGGTGATGTAGTCCCGTTGAGCGTGCCGCAACGGGCTTGTTGGCTGCAGAGTTGGCAAAGGAACGGGCGCGTGGTTTCTAAAAGCATTTTCTGTTTGTGATCACTCGTGCGAAACAAGCAACCTGTACAGTTATGCGCCCGTGCCTTAGTTGCCATTTTAGAAGTCTTGTTTAGTTCACTTCCTCAGGCTGACTAGCAACTCCGATGGAGTGATTTGGCTCAGGGTCACGGGGTCCTCTGTATGTAAATTTAGACAAGCATGTTGACATGCTTGTTAAAGGGACCATGAAATGACCTTTTTACTTTTTCCAGATAACTTTTACATTAAACCGTCAATGTTCACTGAATGCCGAACAGGCATCCGTTTTCGTCTCGGTTTATTAACTTCTACACAAAAAATTATTGAAATATCGACTTTTTCATTCTCTCCAACTGACCGCAAAACAAGCCGTGACGTAAACAGTTTCCGGAACCGGAAGTTATCTCGGCAATAGGAGAATGGGAGTGTTAGCGGCAACGAGTTGGGGTGCGCCGGTAGGTTTTACTGCGCTGATGTCACCGACGTATTTCCTGAATCGGCGCCTCTCATCGCCGCATCGCAGCTGAGCGAAATTCAATGAGATATGTTGCGCTACAGCGACAGCATGGGACTAGTCCCATACGCCGGTATGCCTGTTGGGAAGTGCAGCGAGTCTTCCGGTGAAGACTCCAGAAGTCAACCACCCTGTCATTGTTGGCAGAAGGGCCGGCCCGTGTCAGTCGTTTGCAAAGCGACGTAGATGGCGTTTTTTGCGGCCTCGGAGATGCAGGAGCGAGCCGACGTTAAAAAAGATAAGTTTGAACTACGAGTGTCGGCAAGAGCCACGTAAATACCTGTTTACACTCGGAGCGGACGCGCGCGTTCGATGGAAGTGCTGTATTCGCTCTGTTTGTAAGCGCTTCGGGACCGTTCTTTTACGATTGCAACTCGATACTGACGCGACACTCGGCAAAGAAAGGTTGGATCGGGGTTGTACGTATACCTCCCACGAACTGTTATAGCTCAACAGTGACGTGCAGTCTGTCAGAATAAAAATGGCATACCAATAACAAAGTGTACATGCCGTGTTACGAAGGTAATCCATGCGGCGTTTATTTCAGCTCTATATCACACAAAACAAGAAGATAGAATCGACGAGAGTCCCTTTTCGACGAGCGTTCGTCAACACTGCCTCGGAAAACAAGGGGAAGAGATTGACCTCACCTCTTAACCTAAAATTGAGGTCAGCGATCAAACTATAATACGAGAAGGGTCCACAAGGGTAGCGCGGGCATATTCCATTCAGCACGCCAGCCGGTCGTAGGCAGACAGACGGTCTTGCGACGAAGCAACGCTGCGCCGAGTCGGAGTGCCTGCTAGGCCTATATTCTGATAGCTTCGTCGGAGCGGGATTCGCGGCTGTTGTCGCTCTTCTCGGGTGTTTGTGGATCCAGCGTTCTTGTTCGTCGTGGTCTGTTTTAAGTACATTTTTTTTCTTGCTGCTTGAAGTCGGCACGCGCGAGATGAACACAGAAAAAAAAACGTTCAGTCAGTCAGAGTTTTGAGAGGAAGGAAACCAAAGGAAATGACCGTTCTGAAGTCTGCCCTGCCCTACTGCGCACGCGCAGTAATTGCTTCGTTTACCACACGATAGATGGCGCTTGGCTCTCAGCATTATCAAATTTGGCAATTTTCGCCACACATCTCTAATTATGCTGCAAAATGTGGATCTGAATATTATTTAACAAAACTTTTAGGAAACATCCGCCGGCTATTTATTGTTTACGATCGCGGAGCTGGTGAGGTAGGCTCTTACCCAATAGGCGACCTGGATTTGGCTGACGTGCTCCATTTCCGCGGATGCATCGTAGTGAACAGGCGAAGGAAGGAAGGCACAAAAGAGTCCAGTTTTCTTTTAAAAGTTCTATAGCAAATAATTTTTTTTGGCTCCCTATTTTTGTGTTTTTGTGTTTCTTTTCACACCTTTTACGACGTGCGGTGGATGAAACTCGATTTTAAAATAATTTCATGGTCCCTTTAAGGAAATGAAAGAGCATAGCACAAAAAGACCCAAACAGGAGCGCTAGAAGTAGCACGCACCTTTCGAACTTAAGGGCGATTGTGCACGCCCTCCAAATGCTGTGGTTGGTTGGAGTGGTTTAAAGGGGCACTGACACATCAAAATCATATTTTTTTTTATTATCCGAAACGATTGAAAACGATGCTGGGACATTACCCTCAAAATTTGAGATTTGGGAATTCAGTATTCGTGAAGTAAAAAAACAATTTCCAAATGCCGAATTCGAAGTTCCCGCGCGATCGGCGCCGGTGCCTTGACGTCAAAAATTGAGGAGACCTGAGAGTCCACTTCCTTTCACCACTCCCTGCTGTTGCCCATGTTGCCATGGCGACCCAAAGCGAGGAGGAAAGGAGCGAGCGCAAGCGAACGCCGGCGGACCGGTTTTGAGCGGTGTCGCCTGTTTTCCGTTGGAGGATACAAATCCAGGAGACGGCACCACAACGAACTCCCGATTTTTGGTATTTCAAAAAGAAGGGCCGTACTGCGTTCGCAATTGCGTTAAAAAACATGTTTTAGGATTGCCGTAATTAAATGTTATAGAGATGTCGCCTACAAAGCTTCTAAATTTCCTGATTCTTGACGTCACCGATCAAAAGAAGCGAGGAGGCGAGAGGCGGGAAAATCAAACGCCAAAAATAAAAAGGCGCGCGCGCGCGCAAGAAAAATTTTTTTTCGCGATGCGTTTTTTTTTGCGTGTCTATGACTACAACTTGCATCGTTTTAGACAATAAAAATAAATACGACCTTTGGGGTGTCAGTGCCCCTTTAATTTATACTCGGTGTCAACATTTTTGTGCTAAGATTGCTCCCCCTCCCCTCCCTCTAAGATCGGCAGTGGCATGCGGGCATTTGCCAGAGTGCAACCCATCCTACAAGCGCGAGCACGCTGCCCTGAACAATGTTCTCTGTGCGAGAGTGCTTGTTGAAATCACGCAGCTCGCTCGTGTAACTTCTGCAGTGCTCACAGTTAAAGTGGAAGGGAGTATAACCACACACCGCTCGGCCCTGTAGCCTTACCAGCATAGCACAAAAAAAGTTGACGTCAAGTGTAGTGCATCCGCCAGCGATCGAATAGAGGTACATGATGAAGTCGGCAGCAAAGACCGTGTAGTTGTGTCGTGCGACTAAACATTGGCTTTCAAATCCACAGCTAGATGGCGCAAGCTCCGAAAATCGTTCGATTCAGTCAACGCCTCCGCTAGGTAGCCTAAGTCTCCGCTTGATTCCAAGGCTTCAGACGTATCCGTCCATCATCTGGTGTTGTGCATATAGCCATTTCCGGTCGAGTTGCACGAGCTCGTACATATAGCTTTACTTACGATTTATGCGCTTTAAAACCGTGGAACGAACCTTCTTCTGCCATGTCGACAGTCCTTCACATCAAGATCTTAAATCTGAGGATAGGCGCTCGTTGTCATCGCACATCGACACTTTCTGCTCGTAGCGCAGTTGCACCAATGCTGGGGAAGTTTGCATGTACTGGTTGAATGTCATCAGCTTAGCAGGTTGTTTCAAATTCACGTGCCATAATCTAGGTGCCTTTGCTGTAAAGACGGATCATGTCCGTTCTGTTTTCTTCTTGAAATCGACTACCAGCGTGGCCACGCGGTCTCTTCCTTCACTACGGTCGCCAACGGAATGAGAACAGCTGGTCTTTCAAATGCCCGGCGTCCTGCACATGTTCCGTGCCTTCCACCGTTCTTTGGCTCCGTATGCTAGAGGTGCACGAGACGCAGTTAGCGAAGGTTAGACGCTTGTGCTGGAAGCGGGACAACAGAAGCTCCTTCGTGGCATTCTCACCCTGCAAGTGACTGTGGCATGGCGTAACGTACGATAATGTTTAAACGCCGTTACAGCCTTTGTCGTCGCTCGATTGCTCCATCCCATTCGTTCGGACGTAAGGAATGGGATATATTGCATCTTCTCGTTAACATTTCTTTATCACTTTTACCCCATAATTTGGACAACATTGTGGAGCAAAACTTGTTCACATCATTGTTGTTACTGTCGTTTTTAGGAAGCAATGCCTGCAATGCCCCACCAATATTTTTGGGGGGCGCACCTGATGAATCACCGAGAAGAGGCTTACTATTTGTGCTTGGTCGGCTGTCTTTGATCGTGTGAACTGGCTCGACTGCACTGGGAGTCTCGCTGG